GAACATCGTAATCGCACTCTATTGGATATGGTGCGGTCTATGATGTCTCTTACCGATTTACCGCTATCATTTTGGGAATACGCTCTAGAGACAGCTACATTCACTTTAAATAGGGCACCGTCAAAATCCGTTGAGACGACACCGTATGAATTATGGTTTGGGAAGAAACCTAAGCTGTCGTTTCTAAAAGTTTGGGGATGCGATGCTTATGTCAAGAAACTTCAACCTAAAAAGCTCGAACCCAAGTCGGAAAAATGCGTCTTCATAGGATACCCTAAGGAAACCATTGGGTATACCTTCTACTTAAGATCCGAGGGAAAGATCTTTGTTGCCAAGAACGGATCCTTTCTGGAAAAAGAGTTTCTTTCGAAAGAAGTAAGTGGGAGGAAAGTAGAACTCGATGAAGTACTACCTCTTGAACGGGATAGTAGTGCAGCTCAGGAAAATGTTCCTGTGATGCCACACCAACTGAAGAGGAAAATAATGATGATGATCAAGGTACTTCGGATCAAGTTGCTACTGAACTTCGTAGGTCCACAAGAACACGTTTCGCACCAGAGTGGTACGCCAACCCTGTCCTGGAAATCATGTTGTTAGACAACGGTGAACCTTCGAACTATGAAGAGGCAATGGCAGGCCCAGATTCCAACAAATGGCTTGAAGCCATGAAATCCGAGATAGAATCCATGTATGAAAACAAAGTATGGACTTTGACAGACTTGCCAGATGATCGGCGAGCGATAGAAAACAAATGGATCTTTAAGAAGAAGACGGACGCGGATGGTAATATTACCGTCTATAAAGCTCGACTTGTCGCTAAGGGTTATCGACAAGTTCAAGGGATTGACTACGATGAGACATTCTCTCCCGTAGCAAAGCTGAAGTCCGTCCGAATCATGTTAGCAATTGCCGCATACTATGATTATGAGAGATGGCAGATGGACATCAAAACGGCATTCCTTAACGGACATCTTAAGGAAGAACTGTATATGATGCAGCCGGAAGGTTTTGTCGATCCTAAGAACGCTAACAAAGTATGCAAGCTCCAGCGATCCATTTATGGGCTGGTGCAAGCATCTCAGAGTTGGAACATTCGCTTTGATGAGATGATCAAAGCGTTTGGGTTTATGCAGACTTATGGAGAAGCCTGCGTTTACAAGAAAGTGAGTGGGAGCTCTGTAGCATTTCTCATATTATATGTAGATGACATACTCTTGATGGGAAATGATATAGAACTTTTGGACAGCATTAAATCCTACTTGAATAAGTGTTTTTCAATGAAGGACCTTGGAGAAGCTGCTTATATATTAGGCATTAAGATCTATAGAGATAGATCGAGACGCCTCATAGGTCTTTCACAAAGCACATACCTTGATAAGATTTTGAAGAAGTTCAAAATGGATCAGTCCAAGAAGGGGTTCTTACCTGTATTGCAAGGTGTGAGATTGAGCTCGGCTCAATGCCCGACAACGGCAAAAGATAAAGAAGAGATGAGTGTCATCCCCTATGCTTCAGCCATAGGATCTATTATGTATGCCATGCTGTGTACCAGACCTGATGTAAACCTTGCCGTAAGTTTGGTAGGAAGGTACCAAAGTAATCCCGGCAAGGAAAACTGGACAGCGGTCAAAAATATCCTAAAGTACCTGAAAAGGACAAAGGACATGTTTCTCGTTTATGGAGGTGACGAAGAGCTCGTCGTAAAGGGTTATGTCGATGCTAGCTTCGACACAGATCTGGATGACTCTAAGTCACAAACCGGATACGTGTATATGTTGAATGGTGGAGCAGTAAGCTGGTGCAGCTGCAAGCAGAGCGTCGTGGCGGGATCTACATGTGAAGCGGAGTACATGGCAGCCTCGGAGGCAGCGCATGAAGCTATTTGGGTGAAGGAGTTCATCACCGACCTAGGAGTCATACCCAATGCGTCAGGGCCGATGAAACTCTTCTGTGACAACACTGGAGCTATTGCCCTTGCCAAGGAGCCCAGGTTTCACAAGAAGACCAGGCACATCAAGCGTCGTTTCAACTCCATCCGTGAAAATGTTCAGGATGGAGACATATATATTTGCAAAGTACATACGGATCTAAATGTCGCAGATCCGTTGACTAAACCTCTCTCGCGAGCAAAACATGATCAACATCAGAACTCTATGGGTGTTCGATTCATCACAATGTAACTAGATTATTGACTCTAGTGCAAGTGGGAGACTGTTGGAAATATGCCCTAGAGGCAATAATAAAAGGGTTATTATTATATTTCCTTGTTCATGATAATTGTCTTTTATTCATGCTATAACTGTATTATCCGGAAACCGTAATACACGTGTGAATACATAGACCATAACATGTCCCTAGTGAGTCTCTAGTTGACTAGCTCATTGGTCAACAGATAGTCATGGTTTCCTGACTATGGACATCAGATGTCATTGACAATGGGATCACATCATTAGGAGTATGATGTGATGGACAAGACCCAATCCTAAGCATAGCACAAGATCGTGTAGTTCGTTTTGCTAGAGCTTTTTCAATGTCAAGTATCTCTTCCTTAGACCATGAGATCGTGTAACTCCCGGATACCGTAAGAGTGCTTTGGGTGTACCAAACGTCACAACGTAACTGGGTGACTATAAAGGTGCACTACAGGTATCTCCGAAAGTGTCTGTTGGGTTGACACGGATCGAGACTGGGATTTGTCACTCCGTATGACGGAGAGGTATCTCTGGGCCCACTCGGTAATGCATCATCATAATGAGCTCAAAGTGACTAAGTGGTTGGTCACGGGATCATGCATTACGGTACGATAAAGTGACTTGCTGGTAACGAGACTGAACAAGGTATTGGGATACCGACGATCGAGTCTCGGGCAAGTAACATACCGATTGACAAAGGGAATTGTATACGGGGTTGATCGAATCCTCGAGATCGTGGTTCATCCGATGAAATCATCATGGAACATGTGGGAGCCAACATGGGTATCCAGATCCCGCTGTTGGTTATTGACCGGAGAGTCGTCTCGGTCATGTCTGCATGTCTCCCGAACCCGTAGGGTCTACACACTTAAGGTTCGGTGACGCTAGGGTTATTAGGAAGACTTGTATGTGATTATCGAATGTTGTTCGGAGTCCCGGATGAGATCCCGGACGTCACGAGGAGTTTCGGAATGGTCCGGAGGTGAAGATTTATATATGGGAAGTTGTCATGCGGACACCAGAAAGTTTTGGGGGCATATCGGTATTGTACCGGGGCCACCGGAGATGTTCCGGGGGTCCACCGGAAGGGGCCACCCCTCTCGGAGGGCCACATGGGCCGCAAGGGGCAGGGAACCAGCCCCTGGAGGGCTGGGTGCGCCCCCCACCTTGGGCCCATGTGCCTAGGGTTTGGGGGGGGGGGGAACCCTAGAGGGGGCGCCCCCTTTGCTTGGGGGGCAAGTTCCCCCTCCCTGGCCGCCGCCCCCCCTCTAGATCCCATCTAGAGGGGCCGGCCCCCCTTGCCCCTTCCCCTATAAATAGAGGGGTGAGGGGAGGGCTACAAGACACAACCCAAGGCGCAGCCCCTCCCCTCCCCAACACCTCTCCTCCTCCGTCACGAGCTTGGCGAAGCCCTGCCGGAGTGCTGCTTCTCCACCAACACCACGCCGTCGTGCTGCCGTTGGAGCTGTCTTCCTCAACCTCTCCTTCCTCCTTGCTGGATCAAGACGGAGGAGACGTCGTCCGTCCCGTACGTGTGTTGAACGCGGAGGTGCTGTCCGTTCGGCACTTGGTCATCGGTGATCTGAATCACGGAGAGTATGACTCCATCATCACCCTTCCCTTGAACGCTTCCGCACGCGATCTACAAGTGGTATGTAGATGCAAACTCACTCCCTTGACTCGTTGCTTAGATGAACTCATAGATGGATCTTGGTGAAACCGTAGGAAAAATTTTAATTTTCTGCAACGTTCCCCAACACCTCGGAATGCCATGGCTCTTTCGCTCCGCTGAAGCCAGAATGATTGGTTTGCTACCAACATTTGGCATTGCCAATACCCAATATTTGACAAGTTAACATTTGGTAAAATCTAAAGTTGCTAAAATTGGCAACCTTTTGTGAAACCTTCTCTTTCTGTCTTCCATTTGAATTCCGTGATTTATCCTGCTATTTGGAGTTGGCAACAAAAATTGGTATGCAACCAATCTCTAGCCAACATTTGACAGTTGCTAAAATTTGACATGCCAACTTTTGACATGAAACCAATTAGGCCCTTAACTTGCCAACTGATTAGCCGCTTCCAGGCTGCGGGAGCAGAGCTTTAGTTCCAGGGCTCATGGCATGTCAGACATAGGGAACGGACACCGACGGTCATTTAGATTAGGTTTAGAGTACGATTAAGTCCAAATATGTCCAAATGTGATGGGTTTGCTTCAGTTTAGATGAAAATCATCCGGTTTTATATAAAAATTATTAAAGTACGAATTAATATTGTATAGTTTGTTTAAATATGCATCAATTTGGTTAAATTTCTTTCGAAATGTAAACAGATATATGTGAATAGCTTTGCATGGTCGGCTCCTGCATCAGTATACAGATCCCCGAACCGCGGATGGATGCGGTGTTCGGTTTGGGATCGGTGTTGTAGAACCCTTATGAACAGTCAGGGACCTACCACGTGACATTCCTGGTAAACAATCCAAACTTGATGAAAACAAAAAGAACAGCCAGGGACCTGTGTAAGCACGTTGCCGAAATTTGATGGAGCCCTTGCGGATGGTGACGTTGTTGTCCGTGGTGCGAGGAACAGCGGCGAACCGTCTGGAGATTGTGATGTGCGGCGGAGAGAGTCCACCGAGGAGATGAGGTTGCCAGTTCCCACGTGCCTTCTCTATCTTGTGGCCATCACGACGGCCAGCGACACAACGACACCACATGGCTTGCTAATACTCTCTTCCCGTATCATCTCAAAGTTTGCAAGAAGCAACCCGGTGGTCACTTGCCAATTAGCTTCCACCGGTACGGTGCCATGGAGGAGTGGCTCCTAAGCTTGTGTTTCATAGCCCTCTCCACGGCCACGGTGCTGGCCTTTTGGTTTCTCAAGCTCTCTGGTGGCAAGGCCGACCCCCACAAGAAGCAGCTGCCTCCTGGGCCATGGACGCTCCCGGTCATCGGCAGCCTCCACCACGTCATCAGCGCCCTCCCGCATCGCACGATGATGCAGCTGTCTTGCCGGCACGGGCCGCTGATGCTCCTCAGGCTAGGTGAAGTCCCCGCCGTGGTGGTGTCCACCGCCGACGCCGCGGCGCTGGTGATGAAGACCCACGACCTCGTGTTCGTGGACCGGCCGCGCAGCCCGACCATGGACATCGCCAGCTCCGGCGGCAAGGACATCGTGTTCGCCCCGTATGGCGGCCACTGGCGTCAGATGCGCAAGATCTGCGTCGTGCAGCTCCTCAGCTCCACGCAGGTGAGTCGCATGGAGGGCGTCAGGGCCGAGGAGGTGGGCAGCCTCCTCCGCGACATCACGGCCGCCGCCTCCACCGGCGCCACCATCAACGTCAGCGAGAAGGTGATGGCACTCACCAACGACATCGTGACAAGGGCGGTTTTCGGCGGCAAGTTCGCACGGCAGTGCGAGTTCCTCCGGGAGATGGACAAGGCGTTTAAGCTCGTGGGCGGCTTTTGTCTGGCCGACCTCTTCCCGTCATCGAGGTTGGTACGGTGGCTGAGCAATGGCGAGCGCGACATGAAGAGATGCCATGGCCTCATCCATCACATCATTGCCGAGGTCGTCGAAAATCGCAAGGCCGCGCGAGCTTCTGGCGTGGGTCGTTCCATCCCAGGCGATGAGGACATGTTGGACGTGTTGCTCACGCTCCAGGAGGACGACTCTTTGGAATTTCCTCTCACCACGGAGACAATGGGGGCCGTCTTGCATGTGAGTATTTCTCTCAGCTTCAAGTATTGAATTGTTTAGTAAGCAACCAGAATAGTAACAGTAATTTTTTTTTGCGGGATAATAATAACAGTAATTTAAATATAAAAGATGACACTAAATAGATCTACTCTATGAAACAACAAATACGATGTCAGAATCTAGTCAGGATATTGAAGGTGTACATGACCAAATTATTATGAAAATTAAGAGCGCCTTACCTACCTCCAAAGTAGTAGCGTAACACTAATAGATAAAGACTAATATTGTCACGTGGTATGCAACAACAATCATCAACATCAAACAACTCATAACACCCAGACAACGAGAAGTTTATCCTAACACGAAGAGCCTCTAGTAGGAAGGGAAACTACGATGCTGCCAAGTAGAAAACTGCCCGTACGGAGCATTTTCGGTGGGGGAGCGTCGCGTGGACCATATTGGGCCATGGCCGACTCTTCCCTACAAGCTTTTTTCTTAGGATTTGGCATGTAATTGGCCCATTAGCAGCAAATAGTCTGTTTAAGGCAGCCTTGGATCCGCAACTGTCAAAATCGTGTTATTCGGATGCATTATGTTATCCAACACGATACCCTATCGATCTGCAGAGCGGTCCAGACGTCCAAAATCCCGCAAACCATAACCAAACAGGTAGGCTTTGCGGGAGTCCGAACATTCGCATGACCAACTCACAAGGTGTATGCGCTATCTACATGGATAGCGGAAGGTGCATGCATGGTGCTATGTGCATGGATCATGGATGGCGGAAGGTGCATGCATGTGATGCATGTACATAGCTTGGATGGCGGAAGGTGCATGCATGTGATACATGTACATAGCTTGGATGGCGGAAGGTGCATGCCATGGATAGGGGAAGGTGCATATGCATGGCATGCCGTGTGTATGTGATGCTGGAATCTGAGCTATGCGATGTACGTGCGATGTTAGAAGCTGTGCTGCACGGCGCAGGCAGCGACGGATGGTGGAACCGTGGAAGAGGATGCTTGCGTGTTGGCGGAAAATTGTAGGTATAGGATTGGATCGCCAACTTCCACATTAATATCCGGACACCGGTCTGGACCGGTGTGCGGACGGATACGGTGTCTGATTTAGGGTCAGTTTTGAAGTTTTGAGGATGTCCTTATGACTTGTCTTTTGTGTCACGCTCCGCCACAATGCGTTTCGTAAGTGATTTGACTAGGACAAATGGGCCAGAGCTTGGCGGGCAAGCTCGCGTTGGTGGTGTAAATCACCAGCATATGAAGCTAGTCTGCTAGTGGAAGACCGGGAGAGGATTTGGGACGGGGCCGGCACCGAGTCCCTCACGTGTGTATTTTTTGGCTTTTGATTTCCAAAATTCAATTTTTTGATAAAAAGTTCAAATTAATTTCTGATTTTATATTCGTGTTTCTTGTGACGAGGGCTTCAAATAAGAGCATTTTGAATACATTTTGACGATTTTGAAAAATAAATGTGAAGTTTCAACTCTTGAAACTTAGTACAAGTGACTGATAAAATCATGATTTTTGTGATTACGACCGACAAAAAAATACCTTAAAGTTTTATCTGTGAAACTTGGTAAGAGCAAACGAGAAAAAGTCGCAAGTTTGCGTTTTCTTTTTTTTTTTTGAGAAAAAGTCGCAAGTTACAGATGAAAAATCGTAAGTTTCAACGATTGAAACTTAAAACTTAAGATGCCATCATGCAGGATCCAATTACTTCACGAATCGCGAGGCAATCAAGCTGCCGCGTAACGCTTCTCAGGTGTGTACCCCCGTGCCTACATGCCCCGCGAATTTTCAGTGGATGACCCAGCACAAAAGTTTTACGTGAAAAAAAATGGTATGTATCTCATCAGTTATGCTTAGTTCACACCAGGCATTAGAATGTGCGTGCTTAGTTCACACCACGGCGTTAGAATATTCACGCACTTTAAAAAGATATATTCATATATCTCACAATAAATATTCATGCATTTGAAACTAGTGCTCATAGCTTTCACAGTAAGTGATTGTGTATCTCAGGAAAAAAATTATGTATTGGCTACATGAAGTAAAAAAATAATAATAAAAGGGATGGCTCCCCAATTTCATTAACGAAACCAACGAGTCTGCTTACAACCAAAACACAACACCACTAGATAAACCCATAGAAAATGCACACCTATCAGCTGGCTTTTTTTTTCTTCCCCAGCAAAAAGATTACCAGTTGCCTGAACAGCCCAGGTAACCACTCACAACCAAATCCTATAAGCATTTCTGCGGTTCAATTATTACAACAAAAGCAAAAAAGATTACTCAAAATAAACGCTACATATTTCCTTCTCGGCAAGCATTACTTTCCCCAGACCAACATTTGAAAGTTCAACCACCATCGAGCCTGAGAATCCAGGACGCCCGACTGCGTTTGGCTTGAACGATTTCAGCCGCGACTCCTTCCAGGTGCTACTTCGCCTACAAAGTGCTCCAATCATTAATCCAAAACTTAACTGTGAAAAGAACCGCACTTGGTTCTGAAGGCCATTTATTCTCTGCGTGAAGTAAATAAAAACATATAAATTATGAGTCAATCAACAAGCGAGGAAAAATAAAAAAAGTACATGAAAAGGAAGGATAATAACAAAAATTTGAAAAAAAAATAACATGAAAACCAAAATACTAATATCGATACATAAAAAATGGTGGAACCACGAAAAATAACATAACAAAAGTAATAAATACACACTAGTGTGTAGGCAGGTCGGCATCCACTCCCTCCAGCTTTATGGGGGAAGCTAAGAGCAATTTTAACAGAGTCGTCATATCGACCGGATCACTTGCAATTTCATAAATCTGCACATACCGTTGGGGATTCCACAAGGACCTGGAATGAACCATTGATGAAGGGCACGATCTCAATTCTCAACACGGCAAGGGGGGGAGTTTCTCGTAGCGACTCAATGACCCGAGCGGGACGGGTTAGAGGGAGGTGGGTAGCGCATAGAAGCCGATATCTAATTACTTGTCGCTCAAATGTAGTTCTAGATATATCCGTTTGTTCTAGCACCATTTTAGATTCACAAATTAGATACCGGCTTCTATGCAGGCCGACCCGGTTGTAGAAAAATATTTTGTCCTGAATTACTTGTCGCTCAAATGTAGTGCTAGATACATCTGAGCGACAAGTAATTCCGGACGGAGATAGTAATATTTTTCGGCCGGTTATGGAATAGCTCTATACTCTATATACACACACACACACGGAGAGAAGACATAATATGCACATACATCAATGCTTTAACATTGCATTTTTCATGATTATTTTTGGTTTGCAGGACGTATTTGCAGGGGCTACGGAGACCACAGGGAACACTTTGGCATGGGTCATATCAGAGCTTATGCACAACCCTCACACTATGGCTAAAGCACAGCATGAAGTACGCGATGTGTTGGGTGAAGGTCGATCTGTCATCACTAATAGTGACCTTGGTGAACTCCACTATATGCCGATGATCCTCAAGGAGGCCCTTAGGTTGCATCCGCCGGGTCCTCTGATTCCCCGCATGGCTAGAGAGGATTGTACAGTTATGGGTTATGATATCCCTAAAGGTACTAATGTTTATATTAATATTTTCGCAATTTCTCGGGATCCTAGATATTGGATCAATCCTGAAGAGTTCATGCCAGAGAGATTTGAAAATAACAATGTGAACTACAAAGGGACATACTTTGAGTTCATTCCCTTCGGAGCTGGGAGACGGCAATGCCCGGGGATTCAGTTTAGCTCATCAATCACTGAGATGGCACTAGCAAACCTTTTGTATCACTTCGATTGGATGCTCCCTGATGGTGCTAACCTTGCTTCGTTTGACATGTCCGAGAAATTTGGGTTTGCGGTAAGCAAAAAGTATGACCTGAAATTGAGAGCTATTCCACATGTGTGGTCCAATGCTATGACGTTGAAGTGACACGAGGAGCCTGCATATTCAGGTAGCAATGCATGTTTACATACCTGCACTTTCAGCACGTGTAAATGATGTCACTGTTTTGGTGCATGGTTGTATCTTTATGCAAGCAAACATTATGGTTTTGCATCTACAGACTATTACGGTACTATGCTACCTTTTGTATATTAGTTCAGGTAAGAAGATATTGCATTCTACTTCATGATCATATAGGACACAATTGTATTATTCTACTATCAATTAACTATGCGATTTTCCTATATAACTTGCTGGATTTCAGTAGGTACAATTGATTTGTGATCAGAAACATATTTGTTTTATCGCAATTTACAAGCAAAAATTCCTATCCCGTTGTGGCCACTCCACTGTGTTTGCCCCATCGACCCTGATGCCCACTGCTAATCATAGGCCATTGCTCACCACTTGCCACCTTCAGTAACCATGTGGCGCGTGCAACAACGACACATTGTGTAGGTGGCATCAACGTCGTTGCGGCAGTGCCAAGCACACCCTCAATGAGGCCTCCATGCATAACTTCTAGCAATGATTAATCATGCTTGCATTCTAAATATTTCACTATAAAAGATAGCATACCAACTCATACAACAATAAAGTGTGCTTGAGTTGAACAGAGGAACTAAAATAGTCCCATAGTTTTTTGTTATTTTTTGAAGTTTTCCATCGTGCACGGACGACAAATAACCTTGGATGATATAATATAGTCGCTCTAGGACGTCCTCAAATCTCCATGGTGTGGCAAAGCGCGTTATTCATGCTGGTGTTCATATATTTGCAAAGGGTCACTTTATATCCAACAAAGGATTAGACCACACTTGTATTGCACAAGGTCTATTCGAAGGTTGTGTTTGTTATTGCCAAGGTTTTTCCGAAGAACATATTTATTTTCTCAATTCAAATATTTTAGCTAGCTGAAACACTCTTCATTTAAAAATGAATGGAAAATATAACTGGATTATTCAACATTCCTGGAACTTACCACATTCTACAGCCTATCACTGCTAAAATCGGAGTCTAACAAGTAATCTCAACCTTGTTGTATGCCATATGAGATTGTGGGATGCTGCTTAGAGTCAATATCATTGTGTTTGGATCTGTGCACAATACAATATATGCTAAATCTTGAGTGAAATGTGCCACTAGTCTATTGACTCAAAGTGATTGCCCACTTTAGTCCAGTAATAACTCAAGAGTCGTCAAATTTAGTCCATAAACTGGTTTATTTGATCAGTTAAGGCCAAAACCAGTTCAGAAGAGAAAAACCTGTCCACATGGATGCTGCCTCGGTGTAGCTTGGACGGTCCATGCTTGGTTTAATTTCTCCAGGATTTTTTTGCAAAATTAGCCAGGCACTGATGTTATTTGCGTGTTAAAAAAATTAAAAATTAAGAACAATGCATGGGGCTAGGTTCGTGACATGCTAACCACTAGAATGGAAATTTGTTTGTGGAAATTCATGTTACAAACTTTTATATAATCAGATCAGGCCACACCTAAAGATGTAGAGGACAGTGTTATTGCAAACTCTTCATCTATTGTTAGAATATGTTTACTTTCTCTAACATGCATACATAGTGTAAATTGTAGCCTGCAATCTATTACATTATGGTAGTAATATTATCATCATCAACTTGAACTACTAACTAAGGGTATACAGATGGTACATGAAGAGTTTGAAAAACTCATGTCTGTTACTTCAAATGTACCCCCAAGCTCAAGCACATCGAAGAGAAAGCGGGATCAATAGGTGAGTAGGTGAACCCTTTTCTGTAAACACCTCCTTAATTAGTAAAACTGTATGTGTTCACGCTACCACTGTATACTACGGCAGATGCATCTACAATTTGGAATTCTTATATATGTCGTAAAGTGTATAAATTTTCTCTGTAGGGAAAGTTACCATTCTCAAATGACGAACGTGCACTTTGGGCCCAGAAACAAGAATCTGAAACGGTCACCAATGCCCTGGAAGTGCAGCAGGAAAAACCAGACGCCGTCGAGCACGCCGTGTTAAACCTGCATGATGAACTGGATGCTTTGAAGAAGGCCCTGGCATGGCTGCAGCTAGAACTTCAAGTTGTGAAGAATCTGTGAAGCATCTCGTGCCAGATGCGCAGCATGGCCAAGAATATTTGAAGATTACCCTTGCAAAGCAGCAAAAAGTATTAGAAGGTGTCAAGAAGGCCCTGCGAGAGAAACATGCTAAAATTGAAGGTCTGAAATTTGGATTCCTATTAGATCTGCATAACCGTGTTGAATACATCAACACTGCCCTTGTAGAGCAGCGGGAAGAACCTGAACTCGCAAACGAAGAGAAATTGGATATCGAACAGAGGCTTGATGATATTGATGGAATACTACACTTCATCCCCAGGATTGCGTCACCAGGATCCTATTAGGCCATTAGTACATCTGAGAAATGAAACTAAGTCATGTGTCTAGTTTTATACTGTGGTTCCGTCTCATGGTTAGTTATTGTTTGACAATTGTCAAGTTTGAGGTTTAATAGCAATAGCGAGAGCTAAATTTGCATTCAAATTCATATTTTGCACAAATTCATATTAAAATTATTTTAAAAATGATTTTGTATTAAATATGGCCGTGAATTGCAATATAAAACAAAATTGACTGCGCCTACAAACTGTGATGGTTATGCACACTGTCACCAGTGTATAGGCCCACATGTAAGAAGACACACCACCCACGCAAGGACCCGCTTGCTAGCATCCACATACTACATTCGGCCGACATGTCAGAATCATTAACTGGTCAAATGAGAATATCATAATTGTTGGTGACTGTCATCGTCACAGAAAAAATAATGCCTGGTCCCGATGTAAGCAGCCACGTCAGCATCTTTTAGGCACATATGTCAGCAATGTTGACCAAATAAAACTGACGCCTGACTTATTACTGACGGGGACCGCCGATGAGAAAACCTATGACGGACCCACTTGGAAATAGCCACGTCAACAACTGTTGGCCCCATTTGTTAGAATCTTCGGCCGGTCAAACCAGCAGACCGATTGCTGGTGACAGATTATTGTTACTTGTGATAGGCATTAGGATTTTCCCGAAGAGAAAGGGTGATGTAGTATAATAGCAGATAGTATTCCCCTCAGTTGACAACCAAGATTATCGAACTAGTAGGAGACACCAAGCAAACAAGATAAATGGTACCTAGACACAAACAAGGCAAATACTTGCACCCAAAGCGGGCAAGCAGGTTGTCAATCCCCTTGTGCTCGTTAATTGCAAGAATTTAATTTGATAGTGGTAGATAGATAAAATATAAAGGGTAATGGAGGTAAATAAATTGCTGCAAATATTTTTAAGGTTTTCATAAATCTAAAGTGAATGGACTCGGAGGCCATATCATTCACTAGAGGCATCTCTCTCATGAGCATAGCAACGCTGGAAAAATAGATTATTGTTGGGCAATTGATAGAATAGCGCATAGTTATGATGATATTCATGGCATGATCAATATATAGGCATTACGTCCGTGACAAGTAGATCGTTAAACTTACTGACGCCTACTACTATTACTCCACCCCTTGACCTCTATCCAATATGCATTGCAAGGTATTAAGTTCATAACAAACAGAGTAATGCTTGAAGCATGCATGATGACATAATGTAGGTAAAGTAAGAATTCCAATCTTACCCTATAACATTAACTCTAGAATTGGTGACCATCAATGGTGTTGATTCTTGCATGCATTTTATGCTATTGTAACCTATGGTAGATTGGGTAGTTGCTACTTCTTGAGCTTGTGTTGGTTTTTCCTTTGAAGAGGAAAGGGTGATGCAACAAAGTAGAGATAAGTATTTCCCTCAGTTAAGAACCAAGGTATCAATCCAGTAGGAGAAGAACGCGTAAATCACCAATACCTGCACAAACAATCAAACACTTGCACCCAACGTGATAAAGGGGTTGTCAATCCCTTCACGGTCACTTGCAAAGGTGAGATCTGATAGTGATAGATAAACAAAAGATAAAATATTTTTGGGTTTTTGGTGTATAGATTTGAAAGTAAAAGATTGCAAAATACTAGATCGGAAACTAATATGATGGAAAATAGACCCGGGGGCCATAGGCTTCACTAGAGACTTCTCTCTTGAAGTCAAATAATACGGTGGGTGAACAAATTACTGTCGAGCAATTGATAGAAAAGTGCAAAGTTATGACGATATCCACGGCAAAGATTATGCAATATAGGCATCACGTCCGTGTCAAGTAGACCGACTCCTACGTGCATCTACTACTATTACTCCACACATCGACTGGCTCCTGCTTGCATCTAGAGTATTAAGTTCATAAAGAATAGAGTAACACATTAAGTAAGATGACATGATGTAGAGGAATAAACTCAAGCAATATGATGTAAACCCCATCTTTTTATCCTCGATGGAAACAATGCAATATGTGTCTCTCTACCCCTACTTTGTCACTGGGTGAAATCACACAAGATTGAACCCAAAGCTAAGCACCTCTCCTATTGCAAGAAATACCAATCTAGTTGGCCAAACCAAACTGATAATTCGAAGAGAAATACAAAGATACCTAGTCATGCATATAATAATTCAGAGAAGATTCAAATAATATTCATAGATAAGTTGATCATAAATCCACAATTCATCGGATCTCGACAAACACACCACAAAAGAAGATTGCAGTGGATAGATCTCCAAGAGCATCGAGGAGAACATGGTATTGAGAATCAAAGAGAGAGAAGAAGCCATCTAGCTACTAGCTATGGACCCGTAGGTCCGTGGTGGATGATAACCCACAAGTATAGGGGATCAATTGTAGCCTCTTTCGATAAGTAAGAGTGTCGAACCCAACGAGGAGCTAAAGGTAGAAAAAATATTCCCTCAAGTTCTATCGACCACCGATACAACTCTACGCACGCTTGAGGTTCGCTTTACCTAGAACAAGTATGAAACTAGAAGTACTTTGTAGGTGTTTTTGGATAGGCTTG